TATATATATATATATATATATTAAAAGTAAAATAGACACAACGAATAATGATATAGAGGGGAACAGTTGGATCCATTTACATGTGACTTGAACTTGAGAATTATTTTTTCACTTAGAAATATATGTAGCTATGTTTACTGTCAGAAATTATTTATTTCTTATTAATTTTCTGCGAAAGACGAAAAGAGTAATTGCAAAAAAACCAAAACCTGTAAAATTAATAATAAATAGCAATTATTATTTACTAACTATTCAATTCAATTAACTTTGTTATTTAATATTGCATAAGAAAATCTTTGAAACCTACTTCAGTGAGCATGTCAATGTTAGCATAAACATTTGGCGCATGAGGCGTGTATGGCGGTGGAGATAAGTCATCTTTGTCCCGAAATGGTGCATTCTCGTGAAATAATGATCCCAGAACGTCTGCGTTACCCTTCAAAAAAATACTTTACGCAAGTAATGAAGTTTTATCTACTAAAAATTGCATATTTTAGTATCAGTTCGACAACTACTCAAGTAACTTGTCTTTTATCTAATTATCAACGCTAAAATGCTGAACAGTTCCTTATTTAGTTCAGTATTATTTCATCACTTACTAATTAATCATCATTACTACCACCATCAACATCATCATCAATCAACAATGAAAGCGAATTTATAGGTATTTTTGTTTGCTCAAGCCATAAAAGATCTCTGTAGACGTAATTTAGTCAATATATGAAATAAAACCGTTTCAACCCAAATCCATCTGAGCAGTGCTACAAAACTGTTATAATTAAACCAATTTCCATATTTCACAGGAAAAATCTAGATTATGCCGCAAATGTGTGATAAAATACTTCTTCAACCAAAGTCTCTTGTTGTAATTAATTAGATGAAAAAATAGCGAAGTTAAGATGAACAGAAAAGTAATCGGTATGAAAATCGTTATTTCTCATTAACGGAAATTACAAATAACTAACTGCCAGCTCAGGAATTACATAATTCAGCGATGACTGAAAAAACTTGAACCATAATAATAAATGGATAAATGTTCCCATCAAATGTTCTCTACTTGTTTCAGTAAGTCTTAAGAGAGAAAAAACCAGTGCAGGAGTACACTAAAATGTGCGCGAATACATTTTAAAAATCCCTCATTTTTTAGTGTTATTTGATTCCTTTTGGGTAATTTTCGAGTTCAAAACTTACCATTTTATATGATGTGAAGAAAACAGTCACACTTTTAAACGTCATATCAGCACAAATCTCCTCTAGCACTACACGTTCCCCCGTAGTTTCTAGGTTGCATAAAGAAATGACTGACACTTTCCCACACTTTTATCGTTAACTTACGCAAAAGTTTGAATTTTTGTTTTCAGAATTTATTAATATTACAAACTCTTTTATTCCTAACCTGAAAAATAAAGAGAATAAAATGAAAAAACATCACTGAAAACTAACACAATATATTGGGTCCCTTAATAACTGATTACCGCAGACCTGAAAAAATGTTTTATGAGCAGTGAAAACAAAATGAATATCAACTGACTAATGACTAGAACAGAGAGACACTGCTATAATCCTTGTCCAGTAATTGCAGAATGTTAACAGAAAAGATTAACGAGCATTTCTAGTACTTTGCTCATATCTTCCAACAATTTTGATTACACAACAGTAATATGAACACAATTCAGGGAATTAATCCATTTCATTAGTGTATCTCTAGCGAATATTACTGCATTAAAATGCTCAATAAACGACAAAAGCTACTATCTTAGTATTACGATAGTTCATAACGGTAGTAAGTACTAAATAGCAAACAAGACAGCGTTGAAGAAATGATTCAATATGTCGAATGTAATGACTGCTATGATTTGATATTCATTACCGAACAACATTACCGAACTTTTAACTTTGAACTTTTGAGAATTTGTTCTCATTCGTAGTAGTGCAAAATAATATTCATACTAACAACATTGATAAAAAGATAATTAATTACTTTCCACGATTATTTCGTAAAGAAAATAAAAAGATTACCTGGCAGAAACAGGAATTACATTCTTTAGAAATGAGCAAAAATGCTGATATCTGCGCACCAGTATGTGCGCTAATCTGAAACTTTTCATAATCCCTTTGATTTGAAAGCTGGCAATTTTAAAGGCTTGAATTACATATATGCTTTTTATCAAATATTTCTTATAAAGTAACCTTATCATAATTTTGTAGAGAGATATTGACTGATAAAATTCTTTATTTCAGAAATAATCTCTAATCTAAACAATTATTATAAACTACAACACATAATATTTCACTGCTTAAAAAAATTTGAATTTCTAGATAAGAATTTTTAAAATTTCCAACTTTTTTTGCAAGTTGTACTTAATATTTATCAGCCATTATAAGTCTCATTTATTAAGGAAACTACAAATAGCCTTGAAATACAATTTATTTGAGTCAAAAGCAGAAACTGTTATTTTTGCAAACTGGCAAAAGAGATGAATATTTTTTTCAAAATTTCAATACTGTTTCAAAGTAATTAAAAGTAAGCGATGGATATTACTCCATGCTACAAAACATTCTGTTAATCAGTTTTTTTCAGCGTAAAAAAGAAATTTTGTCTTCTGTGCTCTAATAATTTACATACATTCTTTTGCGCATTTCATTTCATATGAAAATATCATTTCAATATTTTGCATTTTTTATCATTCTCCTTTTGACCATTTTTAAACATTTTCATTTACAGCAATAATAAATATAAATTAGCAAAATAATTCACGCGATATTTCAGATAATAATAATTAGTAAATGACAATGCTTTATGTAAACAATTTTTTTCAATTGTGATTAAATAGACCAACTAAATAGTCTGAAAAACTTTACAAATTACTTACCCATGAATTGAGAACTTGTTGAAAACGGATCATGTCGGGATTCTCGGCAGCGATATCTGCAGTAATATGACTTAGCTCATCGACAGCTTTACATCTTGTTTCATGAGATGGAAAAGTAGATTTAGCTGCTGGACTAGTTTTATTTGCCAACTGAGAATCACTAAGTGATCCAGATAAAACTACACGTTGCATTGGGCTGACAGCGATATGACATGCTTTGGTTTTAATGCTAGCAATGGTGGGAGTCGCAGAAACATCTTCCGATGTAGCATGCTCTTCAATGTCGGAAACAGTGGCAGCAAGTGCATTGGTGTCTTCAGATGAGGAAAGAGAAGCATTAAGATACGTCGTGCAACATTCGAGTGGCTTCTGATTGTTACTGTTATCAGATTTCCACGTTGAAAGAAAAGAATTATCACCAAGAATCACACCCCACTGCTTGCGGGTATCGCTTTCTAAGCCATTTGAAAGTTTCATGCGATTCAGTGATGGAGAGAATGTTACCGTTTGTCTTAAAAATGAACAAAAAATAGAATGACAGGAAGAAATTGAAAGACCATCACGAAATTTATCGAACTGAAGAAATCATGCATAATTTGACAAAAGTAAAATCTTCAACACACATTTCCATTCTAATCCTTGTAGCAACTTATAAATCTCCTCAAGAATAATTTGCTTAATCCATTTTAAATTCTTCAAACGTGATGCATCCATTTACAAGAACGATGCTTATCAATCAAATCATTGATAATAATAAATTAATAAACCAAAACAAATCACACTTGCAGTCTATTTTTCTTCTGCAACTTTAATTTAAAAGACAAAAATTTCTCTTGTGCTTTGTCATACAGATGGCACACTTTGAAATAAACTTATCAAATATCACACTCTTTTATTCTTTTTCACTGATTCTTCCAAATATTTTTTAACAAAATATTGAAAAGTATAATCAAATACACAATGATTAAGCCGTTAAGATGGTTTATACTTAAGTGCCACGTTAATAGCATAATAATATGAGGCAGCGAAATAAACGTTTACTTCTCATTCTCACATACCTTTTGCGTGGGGCAATGACTTTAATATGTGATAACGAGTTTGCTCGCAAAGAGTTACTAGCTGAATTGTTGTTGTTAGTGTAATTCCTACTAGATATAACATTGCCGTAATTGCCACAGTCATCTTGATACTCGTAAATATGGTCATTACGAGGGACGCATTGACATGCAACATCCTTTACCGTCGTTGCTTCAGATTCACGTACATTTAGAAGTAAAGCATGCGAAGAAGCAAAATTCATAGATAAATTCTTGTCATCATTAGTGTTATCTCGTGGCTGTTGCGTCTGTGATTGTGGTTGTGATTGTCCGGTGCATATGATAGGAAACGTTTCCGTAACTAAAGTGGGCAAACAAATGTGACAAATTTTGCATGAAGCAATGCTAAATGTGAATGTTTAACAATTTAGCAAAAGGAAATAAAAGCAAGATTACTGCTGTATATTTTTTATTTATAGTCACTGATAATTTTCGTGAAATATTACAAAAGCAAACCGTATTTCTGGGACTGTAAAGCAACTTGTCTACTTACAAACAATAAGAGTATCGGCAAAGAAACTACTGTATTCTACTAATTTTATTCAAAAACGTGAAACAAAAAGCAGTATTAGAATTTGAATACTTGAGTTATTTAGTTATATAATAATGCTTTGATTGTTAATTAAAGGAAAGAATAAATTCTCTTTGAAAAAACAAAGGAGAGTAGAAAGAACATGAAAAAGTGAAAAAGTCTTTACCATATTTTATCTTCTAATACTTGCAAATAAATATTAGTGCTCGGAAAAAGTGAATCAGTAACAAGTACGATCATTCTGAAGAAATTAACTTACAAAAACATCGAAATTCATCTTTAGCTTTCTGCCACCATTTACTCATAAATTCGGCGAACGTAGACAAAACAGAAATAAGAATGCACTAAAAAATTATGCAAATGCTTGATGAGGCATTGCATAGCATGAAAAATGCTAGCAGAGTATGGACATGAGAAAAAAGCAGTTTTGGTCGACCTAATTATGCAAATGAGAAAAACAAAACAGAAATCAAAAAAATAGCATTATGAGCATTTAAGTAATTAAATGAGCAGCTTTCAACAAGAAGGGGAAAAAGTATGGATAAAAAACGGAGCACATGCATTTACGCTAAAGCTGATATTTTTCGAGTCTGAGAAGCTACTGAAAAAAATAATTTCACGTACACTGATGATGGATGAAAGGCCTCACATGTCACAAGCAGAAAATCCACCATTCCATTATTTTTTTTAAGCAAAAAAAATATAGTGAGCATTTCTTTTTTTCATATTCAAGACATACATTCTTGAGAAGATGAAGGCTGACCAAAGCATACATACATCAAGATAATGCTTCATGAACTAAACTTACTGAACCTATAACTTTCACTGATGCCATAACTAGCATTAATTTCTGCATAATACTTCTAACGCTTGTCTTAAGTATTTTTATCTTACATCTGCTTAAACTTTAATTCTCAGCATTAAATACTGTCGCAGCTATAAAATGATCACTAATAAGAAATTTACAGAAAACTTTCAAGCGCTTGTTTGTTGATAAGTAATTGGTAAATAGTTTACGTGTGACACGCAGTTATGAATGCAACGAGAGTGTGCAATATGAAAGGATGAATAATCATGTCTTCGTTTAAATGACACTGCCTAAAAAGTAAACTTTTTTGCATATCCCTCGAGTTATCAATATTGCTTATAGTTTAAAAACAATGATTAAGCCAAACTACAATGGTGCATATGAAGATTGCCAGAAAGAGACTGACTGCCAAACAAATGTCTTGAAATTATTTTACTAATGGATGATAAATTATGCTTTTGCGCAAATAACTTATCAACTAACAAACACTTCAAAGTTATCTGCAGTTCTCGTATAACTTTTGTGCTTTACATATACATACAAACACAAAAACAAAGACTCTACATCATGTCCAACAATTCACGGATGTGGAAAGATAAGCAATGACTTAAATAAGTTGAACTAATTTCACGAAACGTTGATTCATCCTTGCTTGATAACAAATAAAAATTTAAGAGCAAGACGTCTACCACCGTTCACTTTGCTCATGTTTTCAATTACCCAACATATTTCATGGTCCGTACCATGAATTAATTAGTTAATTAATGATAAATAAATACATAAGTAATTAGCACAATCGAATGAATTAATGAATGAGTGATTGGTTCATATTAGTCAGTGATGTTTTTCAAATGCTGACAAAAAAATTGCGCAAATGTTATCCAAAATATGTTAGTAGACATTACGACTGTTGTTATTATTACTAATTGTTGTATCTAATATGTATAAAACTGCTATTTCAAGTTTTTTCGGAAGTAATAATAATTATTATTATTTTTGTAATAATAACAATATCAAAGATGATTATGACGACAAATTTTTCGGATTTCAAAATGCAATTTCACACCGACCTAATTCGATCAAAATCAAATTCTTCCTCATTACAATCAACTTCTACTTATGTGTAATACAAACATAACATGGTTAAAAAATGGAACAAACATGCTGTCGCGCCATGCCTTTTATTGTATACGCACAACTTCAACTGCTCAAAAAGATTGCAAAAGGACAGCTTCAAAAAGTGTGATTAATTTTGGAAAAGGTTCGTTATAAGTAAAAGATTGTTATGCAATATTTTCAAGACAACAAGTAAAGGTTGAGAGGGTATTTATACCTTTGGAGCAGTACAATCAAACATCATCTTATTGGAAAATGATAAATGATGATGACTGATGGCAAAATAACGATCACTTGATTATTATGTATTTGATTCACAAGCTCACTTCGAATAGTTCTCTCTTCTCAAAATGTTTGCCAAGTTATTCAAATGCAGCAGAACAGCCATGAATAAGGTGATAGCAAGAAGCTGATTACGACAATAATTACCTCAGCACTTTTAAACAAGAGTTGTTGAAAATTGCATAGAAACAAACGAGGGAAAGCAATCATTAACTGCTACATTTCTTTTTAAAGATGATAAAATAGAAAAAAAATGTTTGCGAAGAAAAAATAAGAGAAATATTAGAAAAGACTGAAAATAGACGAACTAACGAACGCCGTGAAATCTTGCAAAATTGTGGTCCATATTCGATTCATTACAAATGGTCACATACAAGAAACATGCTGCAGGAAGGAACATGCAAATGTTTTTTTTGCTTGTTTTTATAAAAACTATTCATTATTTACAGAAATTCATTTTCTGACCACGAAATATCGTGATCAGAAAATAAAATTTTTTTATTCATATGCTAATGACAAATTACTCTTAATCTCATCAATAAGTAACTCAATTTCTTCAGTACTGAATATATGGTTATGACTTTTTACTGACTATTGCTGGTAAAATCATTGGTTACGATGAAATATTCTCAACCTCTTCTTAAAGCCTTTATTACAAAACTACTTGCACTTTAAATTTCCGCAAGTATTTTTCATCCAACAAATATCCAACAAGTAACTTAAAGAACACTATCACCGATGCAAATTAAACTTAACAAAAAGCAAAGTTTTGCCTACTAAATGCTAAATTACAAATAAAATAATAAAATTTTAATGACTAAATTCCATGTAAATGTAAAATATATAAAATAGAAATTTTAATTTAATCGATAAAATAATATATCCAGTGAGAATCTAATGATATAAAAAGTTTGCAGCAGCTAAAAATTATGAGCTTCAGAAACTTGACTGATATCAGTATTAGGAATAACATTTACAACAAAGTATTTTACTGAAACATACCTAACAGTTGACGCAGCTCGATTTGGTTTTGTTGCTCCTCGATAGCAGAGTGCTTCCTTGAATCAGGCCCTACAAAAATTCAACTCTTTTCATCAAAATAATTATTATTCTACAATTCATTTTAAATGATAAATATTTTAAAAACCAATCGATAATTTTACCATTATGAATTAAAAATAAACTTCTACATTTAACGTTCAATGGAAAAATATTTAATAGCGGATTCAAAATAAAGCTAGAATTTCATATTTACATATACACATTTTAACAGTAAATTAAGTTAATTCTTTTCACTACTTCGTAGTTTGTTTTTGATGATTTCCGGCATTAAACAAACATAAATAGTCAGAAATGCTATAACTGTAAAATATACTGAGCAAAATTACGTACGAATGGTGAAATAAGTTGAGAATCACGTGGGAAGAAATTAGTAAAATTTAGAAAATGACAGATCTAATGATGTACAAAAATAAATAAACAAAATAAACACTCACAAGAATTGCCTAAACCTTAATTCATAAATATACTGAGAGATCATATTTAGTAATGAAACTAAAAGTGAAATAGGTTATTCGATTATAAATTTTGAATATTTCATCAAAAATTAGAATTAAGATTTTACTTTATCAAACTATGCAAATTTTATGCAGTGTGTACTTGCCTAAATCGGAGAGACTATCAAAGGATGCGAGATGATCCATCACAGCATCAGGCTGCAATGATTCATATTTCTGTCGTAATAAGATATGCTGATTGGTTTGCAATTTGTTGACTGCAGAAATTTTTCCCACACGTTGCTGATCTCCCTGTGTCATTACTGCAAAAGTAAACAAAGTATGGAACTGCAAATAAACTGATGACTTACTTGGAACATTTCGTCTTTTACTTACTTCTTTACAGTACACCACGCTTTGTGTTACAAAAATTTTGCTCAATAATTTCTTCGATGATCGTTTGAGCATTATAAGTTGGAGAAAATGCTAACAAAACAAAGACTACAATAGCAATAATTCAATAAATGATAAACTGAATAATAAGCAATGAATAAAATTAAGCAAAATAGTCAGACTTGCCCGAGGAGGGAAGAAACGCAGAAGAGTTTCTGTTGGTGGGGCCATGGGTGCTGCTGTTACCACTCTCACTGCGACCACTCAAACAGCAGCAGAAGCAGTTGGCAGCTCGTGAAAACGCCGTCGTGTACTGTTATTTTTTAATTCACTATTAGGCCACTGCTGCCGCAACTTATTCTATTGTACTAAATTAATTATACAAGTGAAAAAGATGAAAATATGTAGTGGAAATAACGATTGTCGTTCACATCACATTAATGGTATGATTATAATTTAATTACATAATCACATATAATGCGCAAAAAAATTGTTAAAAAAATAATTTTTTTTCAAAAATCTGAAATTGAAAAAATAGCATATTGTACTAGTGAATTATGCACTTCTGAATAATAAATAAAGTGTTACGCAAAGAAACAATTGCAGTGAATATAAACAGAATAATGTAAAGATAGAAAAATTGGAAAAGATTTAAATGCACAATTTTGCATTCTAACCTACGAGATGCTTACGCAAGTGATAGTCACACCTCTTCGCCTGCTTTTTGGCATTGGTCGTAGTTGGAGTATGAGATCAGAGAAGTATTTTTTAAGCAAATGCCCTGTTATTAAAGAAATAGAACGAACGGGCGTTGATAGCGAATTACTCCTTCACTCGCGCGTCAGTCAGAGGAAATGAATAGAATCAATTTATAACACTGCGATAAGAACCACTG